GACTATATGAGCATAAATTGTCTTTGTCAGCCATTACCAATCTGAGGAGGAAATGGAGGAGGTCTTTGGGCGACACTCTCACCGACTTATTCGGATCCAACAGCACACATCCCTCTAGTTGCTGTATTCTTTATGGTAGGTCTTGATTCCATTTCTTTCTTCATTACAACTTCTAGAGTCAGCATAGGCTTTCTCTGAGTGATCAAACTATTTCCCTTAATCATATGGCATGGCATTTTGGTATCTTTTAACCTGGTATTCATTCCTCCCAACTGAGATCTAATTTTGACATGGTGCTTGGAATAGACAAAAGCTTATTAGTCTTAGAGGCCAAGCCAACACTAACATTACTCAGATGAACTCAGTGGTAAGGACAGTAGAGTTCCCATTCGCATTTGCCAGCACAGATTTATTTGTTGATTGTTTCCAGAACTTTGAGCAAACAAAAGGTTGAGACAGATGAATAAAAGTCAAGGTTGAAACAGGGATAAAAGTCAAGAAGAAAAATATATAAAATTAAAGATTTTATAATGCAATGTTATAATTGATTACTCATTAAGCCCATATAGAGTTTCAGACTGACATTAGAGATATCATGGAAAATAAGGTTCAGAGTGCAGATGGGTTTCCCTTCAAATACAGATGTTAAGAGCATCCAGTTGAAGGTTCATTTATTTGAATTTTCCCCTTCTCTAGTCACCTCAAATAATCAGCCAGAGGAAAACAGGTCCCTGAAAATTTCTCCAACATCCAAAAGTACTAAGCCCTTGTTTGTAATTCTTCACTCTGGCGATTTGGCCCCCATTATGTACATACAGTTTTAATTTATTGAAAATTTACTAATCATGAGAGATTTCTCTTTTTTTTTTTGCTGAGGAAGATTGTCGCTGAGCTAACATCTGTGCCAATCTTCCTCCATTTTGTATGTGGGATGCTGCCACAGCATGGCCTGATGAGCAGTGTGTAGGTCCATGCCTGGGATCCGAACGTGTGAACCCCGGTCCACCAAAGCAGAGCATGTGAACTTAACCACTGCACCACTGGGCTGACCCCAAGACATTTCTCTTGGAAGCATTTAGAGGTTTCCTTTGATCTTTGCCTTCAATTCTGATCATCTATGCCACTCTGAACATCTGCATTGCTGCCCATCTTTCATCTGTGAAATTCCTTGTCAAACTGTAAGTATTTCAGGATGCTTTTTCGGACAAGAGAAATGAGAACTGACTGTCAGCTATCTCGGAGTTCTGTTTGTTGATTGGCTCCACTCCTGCCCTCCACCTCCTACCAAATAATTCCTTTCTAGTCCAAATTGCTTAAAATATTTTTTTAAAGTCATACACCAAAAGCAGAATGCAAAGCTGATCTTACAAAATAATGTGTTTTCTATTTACTCTAATATACTGTATTGTACACTGTAATGTACACCTGAGGAGTGCCCCTAAGTAAAAAGAACTAAGAAAGGACCCACTGCTTCTATCTTGGTAGAGTTCTGAATGGTCAACATGTTTAACATAAGCAGCAGTAGATAATCCTGATCAAAGAATTAGATTAGCTTATTTACCTATCAGAAGGCATAGATCATGAAATTATTCTTCACTAGAAACAAAAATACTGTGACTTGATACCTTCTTACCTCTTTCAGATGTGATCTCACTTAATCCTAAGAATGCTGTTAAGTGTAATTATTCCTGTTTTACAATAGAAACCAAGGCTAAAAGAGTTGAACTACTTTCCCAAGACTGTCTAGAGGGAAATGGCACACCAGAAAGCCAGGTCTACGAAAAATATAAATCCAGCATTTTTTTGCTGAATCATGGCTGCCTTCCAAGAATTGGTAAAGCAGGTAAGAGGCAGCCATTTTAGGGGAGTGAGAAATAATCTTATAAGGACACAGAATATGGCAAATAATGTGTGAGGAAGGGTATCTTTCATAAAGTCAAATTTAAAAAGCTATCAAGGGAGGCAGTAGGCCAACATGGCCATCGAAGCCTGTGCTTGATATTTGGGAGAGGGAATTAGGTGGCTTGCTTTTCCATCTGACTGTTGAAAGATGATGGTGGGGTGGTATAACTACAGGCTGACACAAATTGTATTTGCTGATGCTTTGTATTGAGCTATCAGAGCTCTGTAAATCATACAATTTGAGAGCTGGTGGCTTCCTTCAAGGGATCAGGCCGCTAGCCCTGACTTTTAGGGACAGCTCTGCAGGGCTGAGGATAGTGTTCCACATTCCCTTGATTGGAGGAGCAAGGACTCCCTGTTCTAGTCTTAGCTGCTGGGAACACCAGTTTGATCCTTCCAAGTTTTGCCAGCACCCTACCCCAATTAGCACCTCTAAGCAGTGTGTCTGTATTAATTCCTGCTCTTAATTCTCCCCATCTATCCAGAGGAAGACAGAAACATTCAGTTTCTGGGTGTCATATCTTCCATGCCTCTCCTAAAGCAATTTTGCAATATATTTCAAGGGCTATAAAGACTTCATACTCTTTTATACAATATTTGATTTACAGGAATCTATCTGAAGGAAATTATCAGATGCAGGTAAAGATTTATGTATAATGATGCTCATGAAGTCATTATTTATAATTGCAAAACACTGAAAACAGACTAAATATCAAACAATGGGAAATGACTAAATTATGGCATATTCAAACATTGCACTACTATATAACCATATTTAAGTTTCCAAGATTACATATTGATATTGGAAAATATGAAAGTGTAAAAGCAGCATACAATATACATGTAAGAAAACTTCTTTATAAAAATGCACTATACACATACATAAAAATGTTATGCAATTTAAAGACATTAAAATGGCAGCAGATGGTGGGATTATGGGAGATTTTTATTTTCTTCATACTTCTATTTCTTACAGTTTCTAATGGAAGCAAGTATTTTAATAATAAAGGAAAAATTATCTTAATGGCCCTACTTTTCATCCATCAGACCCTAATACAACTGACAGTTCTGCTTGCAGTATCTAAACATATTGAGTCTAACCTATTTATGAAATAGGTCTTTCTAAATTTTCTTTTAAATTAACATCATTTTGCTTCAACATAGTGTGAGAAAAGAAAAACAATCAGTAGTCCTTTCTGAATAACAAAATACAAGACAGGTTTTATAGATTCCTACCTAGAGTTCTTATCATGGTGTTATCACCTTGGGCAATATTACCCTTGGGAGATAACAAAGCAGGTGCTGCTTTGCGTAGCTGACCAAACTTTCGTTGAAAAGCTATGAAGTAAAGATTGGTTCTAAAACAATGTTTTGGTCCTCTCTGCTTGTGGCTGTGTTTCACTAGGTGAAACCTTTGATGTCACTATTCTATTTGGAAGCCTGACCAGTTTCATAACACCATCCATTCATCATCATACACAGACCTTCAAAGGCATTATAATTTGAAATACATCAATGTTATAGAATCATCACATGGAAACTAAGAATGTCAGAATTAAATGAGGCTTTAGATCTGGCTTAGGGATCATGAAATCAAGTGTCCATAATCACCAGGTAATAGCAATGAATGAAGCAAGTCATTTGTAAGAAAACACTTCCTTTCCACCAAAAGAAAACCACTCCATCTTCCCACCCCACCAAAATTTTTTAAAGAATATATGCAGTTATCATGGTATTTTTTCCTCAATTTTGAAAGAGATATGGATTCAAGAAACATTTTGTTTCCTTTTTAACTATACCATAAGAAAGACAACATAACCTGAGTTTTAGAAGACAGAGGGAATGGTTATAACTATGGCAAAACAAAAAATAAATTCGCTCCATTTAAAGGGGGTAGGCTGCTACTCAGTTATAGCTGATAGTTCACATGTGGAATTTCTCAAGTGAAGCCAGAAATCTGGATTTCTATATGAAGTCTCTTAAGTGCTGGCAACTAATTCAGAATGTGTGAAAAAAATTCTGCAGGTCAAAAAGACACACCTGTCTGAGGACTGGCTATAGTTTAGTTTGCAGCCTTGATCAAACTCAACCTCATACCTTGGGGATGATGGATAAAATCAAGCTCACTGAGTGTCCTAATTTTTGCTAGAGGTCACTCAGGTGACAGAACAAGGATTACAACTCAGACTTATGGTAATTACAACTGGATCCCTTATTCCCTAGATCCCCTGGGATCTAGTATCACCCCGAGAATTTCCCACATTTAGGCAAATGAAGCATCCCATGAAGTGTTAAATATTATTTAATGGCAGATTTAAAGGCATGTGGCTTCTGCCCCCAATAATATAAAAAGTAATGTGAAAGTACTTCCCACACGGCACATTCTACTTCACATCCAAGAAGTTAGAAAAGTATAGATTTTTTGCTCGATCTATAAAGTTTTAAAAAAGAATTTTAAAACATTATGAAACTTCTTTGTATGTTTAATTATGTCATCTCTGCTTTAACATTTTGAAATTTAAAGTATTTTTGAAATATTCAGTACAATTACCAAAGATACTGGGAAACATTAAAGTTTTTCTTGTTATGTTACATTTTGCTGTTTTGCTGAATTCGCAAAAGTTTGGCATAAGTTTTAAAAAACCTAATATTATCGCATGTTAATCAGCTTGAGTAGAAGTCAAGTAGAAGATCATAACACTTGACTTTCTTATGATCTGCTGACAAAGAGTCAAAACTTTTGTCAAGTAGCCTCACATTTCAACATTTCTTGCACTAAAAAAATTACATTTACTAAGGTGGAACTCCATTTGTACTTTAAATTTTACAGTTCACAGGTGGGCATGCAGGGTGAATGCAAAGTCATTTAGAAACAAGTTCCTACTTAGTCAGATGCCAAACACTGGGCACAACACAGGCCCCCTAAGCTAATATATAGCATGAATTACTTACAGGGTCAGACATAACACTAGCAAATGTAGGAAGGAGCAGTATGCAAAATAAATTTTTTTAAAAAGGCCTTAAGTAATCACCTAATAATGATGAAAACAGGGTAGGGAAGGAAGAAAGGAAGATGCACCAAAGAAAACACAATTCAATTCATTAACATAGATTTGCACTTTATTGTAATTTTGCATCCTGAGATAATAAAATTTTATATCTGACAAGTGAACAACGACAGAAGCAGCAGTGAAAGTTTCAGAGAGGCAGGTATCCTTCATTTTGGCACAGCTGTGTATAGGTTGAGTTCTTCCAGGGAAGTTACTCCCAAACTCAAGGGAGAAAAATGAATTCATTCCACAGGCTATGTAACAATACAAGATGCATGAAAGTTCTAGGTTTGAATGGACATATCCACTTTTATTTTTTTCTTGTAAAGCTGTTCCAACAGGAATCTTCTCCCAAAAAGAAGAAATCCTAGGCTTTTCAAACAGATGTTTTGATCAATGCCTGCTCTCTAGCTCCCAGGATTTCCTGTTTTTGCAGCTGAGATTCCTATTTGTATGTGGTTAGTCCAAGGATGGCAAACGAGCTTGCAGATTATATAATTTCAAACATCTGTAACTTGTTTCCAAGTTCGGGCATTAAAAAAATTTTACACTACTTGCTTACTAGAAAACTGTAAAATTAAGAAAATTAAGCCAAGATAAAACCAAACAAAATAAGCAGGAATAAAAGGAACATTTGAGGAATTATTGCCTTGACTCATCATGATGAGTTCATACACAGAACTACTTTGAGACTCAGAAATTGATACCTACTCCAATGCTAGAACATGACATGATAACACTTTCCACATTTGCAATCCTATATGTGTGTGCATATACACACCAAAATAAAGTAGCTCAGTTAGATCATTCTGAAACAGAAAAAACTGAAGGCAAATTCTAACCTGGAGTTATATAGCTCACTCCAGCCAACACACACTCACACTCACACACACACACAATCTAGCATTTTATTATTTAGGGACTGGGTAAGCAACCTGTGGAGAGGGTCAAATAATTTTAGTTCCTTTATAGAAGTGGCTCCCAACATTTCACCATAAGGATCCTTACATTATTCCTTCTCCACGTTTTCAAGTATTTTACTTACTAAATTGCATGTAATAATAGGCTTTCTCATATTTTTATTAATCAAAAGCATAACTGCAATTCACAGCTTCTGGTTAGCGTGTGATAACCAGTGTTAGACAGAATTGAAAAAATTTACGCAATATGCATGGAAATGCAATGTGTTAGTTGGTTTGTGCAGCAGGAATATTATGGGTAAATGTATGATTTCTAGTATACTTTTTGAATTAATGAAAAAGGTTCAAGGATGCTCCCACTGCTATCTTCATCTGCCCCAAGTTGGGAACCACTGGTTTACACTCACCTGCTTTTCCTCCCTAAATCAAGTATTAACATAACACAATTACCCATGTTAACACATAGGGGATTATTAACAAAATTTACTACAGAAAAAATAGATTAAGTGCAACACTCATTCTGTAGGGTTTGACAGAGAAAGAAAACATAAGAACATAGATTAAAAGGAATCTATTTAGAAATTACAAAATTATGATATCCAGTACATCTTTCAGTCAACTTCAAAAGCACATTAATATATGAAAAGATCCTCAATTCCCCTGTGAGGTAGGTCCAGATTATTGTCCCCACTTCCACAATGAGGACATGAGGTACAGAGGAATTAAGCAGCAGAGCTAAGAATTAAACCAGAAGTGACTTGGGTTTGAATTCCACACCACTTTTCTTTGCATCTAATATTATCAATTTGTTCCAACAGATCTTTTTGAGGATATGGAACTTAACAAGACACTGAAGCAGATATTGAATAGGATATAAAACTCTTTCCACATCAGTGTCAAAGCGGGTCCTCCCATATCTCCATTGTTGTCACAGCTATAATTCTTGCCCAAATACCAACTGCATAGTCAGATTCCACATAGGCAAAGCCCACAGACCTCAGTTCTCAGTTCCTAGGGAAACTACATTCTTTCTTATCACCATGGAGGTGCTGAGGTCTAGCAGACATCAGGTTCTTTGAGTCTGTGTGATAAGAACACACATCAGCTAGGAGCCAGTTGGCAAATCAAACTTTTACTGTGTGCAAGGCACTGTGAGAGTTTCCACCAAGGGTAGTACATCTGAGGAAAATCATTCTGGGATCCTGTAGAGAAAAAATTTCCTCAACATTCCTTGAATCACAGAATGTTAGGTGATCTCTAATTTTCTGTACAGTTCCAGGTTCAACCCCATGATTTCACAGATGAAGAGACTGACATGTAATTTAAGTGACTTGCCTGGAACCCATCATATTAGATCATTTTCTCAGATAGTACGACTCTGACAAAGTCTACAGAAATTGGAACACATTCTCAGGTTGCCATCATCAAAATGAAAAGACTGGCTTAGAATCAGGTGAGAGAAATTTGGAGCAAGATAAGAAAATATATATCTCCTTATTTTTAGTCCACATATTACATGAACAGGTATTATGAATAAAATCTATTCCTTTTCTGTGGAGAATTGCCCAATAGTTCACCATTTAAAGGAACTCGAACAATTTGACAATTGTTGCAAAATGGATTTTTTTCTAAAGCAGAGTTTTACAGGCATAAGAGGACCTAATTTCAATGAATTTGAGCATCTTATAATCAAATTAGCAAAAAGTATTTCCAATATGTGAAACTTCTCCAATTAAACGGGTGTATATATTTCTATATCCTCCTAGGTCAATATAATCATTTCTAATGAAATATTGTTTGGGGGCTTTATGTTCAAGTAATGAGGTTTATTTTAAGTGGTGGTTTATTTGTAAACAAAATTAAAATGCTAATGATTTTTTAAAGCTCTCATACATTTGAAAAAACCCTGTTTATTCGAAGGCATGCAAATGTTATGGAACTTCACTCAAATTACGAAAAAACAAGAATAAATTACATTAAAAATGGTAGAGTGCTAAATATCAGCACACTTTGATGAACTGTTCAGACATTAGTGTTTATAGGTCATAATAATATGAATAGTATGTGTATTAAATACTTAAGTCGGTTTGTTAGGGCTTCAATCAAAGACCATTGCTCTTCCAGAACCATGTTAAATTACATGTTTACTAGCATTAGAATCATACTACTTTTGTAAGTGACTGATAGTCCTGTTCTGTAATATTTTGTCACTAATAGATCACATGATTGGGGGAAAACAACAAAACAGGCTTTAAATAATAAACAGAAGAAATATAATATGCTAGTGAAATATTCTTATACTTTGTTGAAAAGGATGGTTTTAAATCTGATGATCTACCAATTCATTTGTTCTGCTTCCTTCAACATAAAACACTATTTTTGTTCAAAAAAGACAAGGCACTTCTCTACCTACTTCTAACATTTGACTACAATGGTCTCTTTCCCAAATTAATACAGGGGGTAGTGGGGAACAAAGAGCAGCTGAAAAAGTTAGAGCTTATTCCATTTTATACACAATTTAGGTGTTTAAAGGGGCAATGGGGGTGGAGATGCATAAGGGAAAGTTAGAGAAGGAATAATTTTAACTTGTAACCTCAAAGCTTTATATACTTTGGCAAATATATGTTATTTTCTCTGGAAACTATCACAGCAGGTTTTATAAAGGAATACTGTGTAACAAAGAAATTCAAAATTACTTCAATCTAAAAACAACTTTCACAAAAATATTTTACTAACTTGATTGAAATATCCAAGTACGTTCTATCCTGAGGATGAAAGAAAAAAAGGTCGATGGGGAGGAATTAATGACCACAGTGTGCTCTGTCATTTCAGCATTTACTGCTGCCAATTTCATTGAAAGGAAAACACCCCCCACCGCGCAAAGCACTCTAAAATACCTAATTGCTAATCAGCCCCCTCCAAAAAACAACAGTTTGGAAAAGCAGTCATATAAGAAAGAAAAAGAGAAAAGTGGGTATTTTCTGAGTAGTACAAGAAAATAAGATGAGCCAACCAGCATAATGAACAATAAAATAATAAATTTAAGAGTGACTAGAGCAGGTTTTAAAATTAAGTTTACATATGCTGCCAAATGATTTTTATGACAGATACTACTGTAACTTGAATTTTACTCTGTCACCTCCAGATGCACTTTATTCTTGTCTCAATATTAGTTTCATGGAAACAATTCACCACTTCCTGCTGTTCTTTGAGTAAAATCAAGTGTGATTCATACATGGCAGAAAAAGTTACTATGACTATTACATGGCCAAATTCTAATCCTAAATTTTACAGAAAAAGGGAGATCTTAAGGGTTGACACTTAAAAGTAATTATTCTATCCGTGATAATTAGACATTTTGTATTATGCTGGAAATAAATTTTGGTATTAAACTGTCACAGTTTGAAGCATAAACCTGATGATATTAGAAGGAACATAAACCACAGATACAATTTTTCCCTGACCTTAGCTATAAAACAAGACATTTGGTATGCATTCTCAGAGGTTTCCACCTTGTCTACAAAAATACACCTTCAATTTTGCAGCAGACAGACAAATGATATTTGCAGGCACACACAATACATTAAAAGTTAGAGATTCTGGGTGGCTGGGTGGCATGGGGGTAATGGGGCTCTACAGAGGGAGGTGAAAAACTGTGCAAACAATTACAATCATATATCAAATAGTGTCTCTTTTTTCCCTCTTTTACTGGTCCAGGACTGTGGATTTGAAATTAAGCATAAATTCTAAAAGTGGCTTTAAAAGGTTTGACCTTGCATGAAGAAATGATTATTCTCTTCACTGGGATGAATGTTTGCCTAAAAAAGTTTACTAAAAGCAATAAGAGTAAGATGATAAATAAAATATTATTCAGTCATAGATACTTTTAATTTATTTTTAGCACTATGAATTACAAATAATGCCTATATACAGGCATACATTTGCAGTTGAATTAACACAATATAAAGCTTTCATTATGTTAAAAATTCAAATTCTAGAAGAATTAGAGTGTGGTGCTCTCACTCATCTTAATTGTGAAGAGAAAGAGAGAAATATGCACATACCAATAAAAAGGCTACATGTGTGGTGAATTTATAAACTAAAATACTTTTGTCTAAAACTTGTCTTTCCTCATTAATAATATCCAAATGTTTAAAAAAGATCCTCAAAAAGAGGATTAAGAGTATTTTATCAATTATGAATCAGCCACTATATATCCTTTAGTACAGCTTCTCAATTAGCTCTTCCTCTTTCCCAAAGTAAAATATCAGAAATCCAGAAAGAGGTTAGCAGTGGCTTTCGTGGGTCTAGACAGCTCCCAAGGCATCTGAAATCTTGAAACACTTTTTAAAGATCATAATTGTGTGTATTTTCAAATGAGGGAAAAGATACATAAAGGGAAATAAATGAGGACAGTGAGGCTGTGAAATGTGTCACATGTCAAATGAATTCTTTTAGGGGTGGGAGAGGAGGACAAAATGGGAATTTATTGAATTAAACGAAAAAAATAAGGTTCTTGGTTTCAGGTGCAATGCAGAATATCTCAGACAATGATTTCAATTTTAATCCACTCATTACAAAGGGCAACCCTGCCCTACACCTGAAATTTTTAACATACTTATTACGGCTTTGCCATAAAACAGCATGTTAACAGTCTATACATTCAAAAGGATGCTTGCAAACTTCATTCATATTAAAATCTATGCAGAATTGTTGGCAATACAGTAAGAGTAATATTACATTCTGTAAACCATGGCATATCACATTTTACATTATGCAAAGAGAGAATATTTACAAGTCTTTAGGAGTTTAAATATTTTATCCACTAACATAAGTGATAACTTAGCAAAGTGCAGGACAAAACCAGTGCTATTAATTGCATGTCCTTTAAAAGCAGGTAAGGGTAAAATCATTTCTAAAAGCTACCAAAAGCTTATTTACATATGTCCAGTAAGGGATTATAGAGCAATAAGTAGCCTAGAAAAATGATGCATATGTAGAAACAGTGAGTATGAAAATTATAAGGCAGCATGCTCAGAACAAGTTTTTGTTTTCCAAACACCAGCACTGATGTTTTATCTTTAGTGGCAACTATATATATATACATATGTGTGTGTGTGTATTTATTTAAAAATTGAGAGTGCAAAACACAAGCCTCATTTAACAACAAAAAAAAGATGTGCAAATTTTCTTCTGAAACCAACACAAATAAAAGAGTGAGGAGAACATTCTACCGTTATAAAGAATAAGTTGAACACAGCAAAGGAGACCATCTTCATTCCAAAATCATCTACAAGGCACTAAGGGTAGGAAATGACAGGTAACACAGAAGTGACCGAATAAAATTCCTCAGTCAGGTCGGAATATGGGATATTTTGGTAAGAACTCTATTAGTATTACCTGCAAAATAAAAACAAACAAGAATATATTGGCAAAATACTTTTCATTTACTATAACATAATAACTCAGAAAGTCTATAATCATTTTTCACAGGACTACATTTTGGTCCTATACTATAAAGTAAGTGATATATATAAAACAGTTAAAAACGAACTCACTATAAGTTATCATTAGATTGGCAATGAAATTAAACTGGCTAACTAACATAACTACTTATTGTAGCTAATGGGTTTTATTACCTGATTTGCAATAACTATTTGTTTAGGTGCAGAAAAGCAAACCGTATCACATTATTTTGTCCTTCCCCACCCTGCCCCTCCTTTTTCTAGGAAAGTGGAAGAGATTAAAATAGTGTTATACAGATTAGAAAAAATACTTTTACCTATATTACATCTATATATATTTCAATTAAAGCAGCTGATATTGGTAGAGCATTACTATCTTTTACAAGTTGTTTGTAAAAAAATAATAAAGTGTCCAAATGGATTGATTAATAAAAACCTATTTATAAACTTATATACATTTAATACACAAATTTATATAAGTTTAGTATATAAATTCAGAATAGCTTATATAAGGTTTTATCTATAGTGAATTTTAGATTTGTGGTCATTTGCACATTTTTTCCAAAACTATTCAAAGTGGAGAAAGATACCATAATAATCCTTATTCATGAAATGGAAATGGAATGTTTATTATTAAATATATACTGCATGTCAGCAACTTGAAGCTTGGATAAATTTCATATTCTTTTGAATATTAATGATGCTGAATTTATCACATTGGCTATATGTGAATTTATGTTTTATGATTAAGATTGCATAGCTTTCAGTAAAAAAATATTGGAAGCTACAGTATTTTCACTGAAAATTAAATGTCAGCTAAGGAAAAAAAAAAGCAATAAGTATGAATCTGGAATTCAGAAGTCAATTCCTATTTTATGCAAATTTTGACAAGATTACATTTAGAAATAGTTTCGTGCAACAGCAGTTGTACCCGTCGCCAGATGCAATGGTTTGCACCTACATTAAAAGAAGATCAAGGCTGTGCAATGTTTTCATTTGAGCACACTAGCTGAGATTTTTCTAAGATGTAAATATTGCTAGCTTTCAAGATATTTTGTGCTGGCTACAAATCTAAAGAAGGTGGGAGGAAACCTCTATGTTTCAACTTACAAAAGTTCAGGGTGAGGAGAAAAAAGGTAGAAGGAAGATCTGACAAATGATAAACATAGTAAACCGTAACATTTAGGATGGAATCCAAAAAATGTAATTGAAAACGACTGCATACTTACATACTCCATCATATTGCTAGTTTCGCATTTCCTTTTAGTCAACTTCCAGTGCAAAGCAAGCTAAGAAAGTAGAGTTTGTTAAGAATTTTGATATCAATTTATACTAATTATTATTGATATATTTGAATAAATCACTGAAAACAATTCAGAAATAAGTGTAAGATATAAAACATAGCGTTTAAAAATACCTTGTAAAGAATATACATTAAAAATTGAGTATTATTTCTCTAATCTATTCTTTGTGGCCTGAAAAATTCTCATTCTTTCAATTTAATAATGCAAATATATAAATGGGGCACTTATTTGCTTCAACTTTCTTACCTTGTGATATAATCTGTTATTTTCCCATTCTAATAACTTCTGAATTGATCTTCTGGTCTAAGAGAAAGAAGACTTTGTTACAAGATGAATTGAAGAGCTTTGTAAACTATCTGTATCTATATTTTTCTGCTTACTCATAAAATTCTATTATTTTCTCCTCTTGTTTTTCTATTAGAAATCAGAAAAAAAGAATGTAACTGACAGAAACTGCTAAAAGAGGAGCAATATTTTGGATGATTATTATACTGTTATAATAAGCACCCCCCATGTACCGATTCACACATATATGGGATTTTAATATATGCTTTTCAAAATGAAATATATATAAACTACTCTGTAAATATATATAAACTACTCTGTGTTGTGAGTCCATTCACTGGAGTATTGTGAAAACATTACCAATACTGCTAGTAGTTCCTTTATGGACCTAATCTACATTTTCATTTACCTTTTCACAGGGTTACTTTTTCAATATACACATAGTATGCCAAACTAATAGGATTCCTCATAGAAAGTTTTCCTATCAGAGTTCCTAGCACAATGCCTGCCATATAGTAGTCAGTCAAGGTCTATAGGCTGAATAAAGCAAGCCAACATATATCAGAATTTCCACTGAAAAGAATATGTTAAAAACAGTCAGTCATAAAACTTGTATTTAGAGGAAAAAATATAAACCAGAGAAGCAATACTGTAGTAAATAGGGGGACAGAGGCTGAGTTTCTCCATTTGGAGTGCATGTATTTTGTAGAGAGTAAGAAAAGTTTGCAAAACCTTCAAAAACATTAAAATAAAAGATTATTAGGCATTTTTAATTCTTATTGGAAAAGTTTAATAAGGTTTCTGATTTTAAAAAAGGCTAGTAGCCATGGTTAAATTTTACAACTACTCCTAAAATTAAATGATTTGCAAAATCAGACTATATCTGAAATGATTTCCAAAGCACCAACATAAAAAATCTATTCTACCTGTTCAACTATGTAAGATAACAATCAATGGCAATTATATTCAGTTCATTTACAGTGGGCCAGATCAGCGACAATGCCAGCAAGAGAATAGCGGGGTCATTGTACTTGATGAAATCTCTCTAAACAAAATCAGATGGGTAACAAATAAAGAGACTGAATTAGTAATCATAAATCATTCCCCAAAGAAAAACTCAGACTCAGATGGCTTTAATGATGAATTCTACCAAACAGTTAAAGAAAAAATAATACCATGAATATAAACACAAAATTCTCAACAAAATACTAAGCAAACTGAATCTAGCAACATATGAAAAAGATTATACATCATTATCAAGTGGAGTTTATCCCAAGAACACAAAAATAAATTGACGTAATACATTATATTAATAGAAGAAAGAACAAAATCCACATGATCGTCTTTATAGGTTTAGAAAAAACATTGGAGAAAATCCAATATGCATTCACGATAAAAATCCTAAGAAAACTAGGAATAAAAGGAAAGTTCCTCAACCTGATAAAGGGCATCAATGAAAAACCTACAGCTAACATCATACTTAATGGAGACTAAATGTTTTCCTCTTGAGATTAGGAACAAGACAAGGATGTCTCTTCCCATTACTTTTATTCAACATTGTATTAAAAGTTATAGCCAGGGCAATTAGACAAAAGTAAAAGGCATCCAGATTGGAAAAGAAAAAGTGAAACTGGGTTCATTTGCAGGCAACGTGATCTTGCATGGAGAAAACCCTAAAGAATTCACTAAAACACTACTAGAACAAATAAATTCAGCAAGTTTGCAGGAAACAAGATTGTGGTAGGTAGAATTCTGGCCCCCATGATCTTCACTCTCTGGAGTTACACCTGTGAATATGTTACATTACATTGCAAAAGAGATGTTACAGATGTAATTAAAGTTATTAATCATTTGGCTTTAAAATAGGGAGATTATCCTGGATTACTTTGGTGGACCCAACGTAATTCCATCAACCTTTAAAAGCAGAGAGCTTTTACTGGCTGATGGAAGGATAAGTAGAGGAGTTTGAAGCACAAGAAGGACTCAAACCACCATTGCTGGCTTTAAGACGGAAAGGGCCACATAGAAAGGATAAGAAAGAAATTATTTCTGCCAAAACCTGAATGTTCTTGGAAGTAAATTCTTTCCCAGAATCTCCAGAAAGAAATTCAGCCCTGCCAGCACCTTGATTTTGGCCTTGTGAGATCCTAATAAGAGAACCCAAGTGAGCCATGCTGTGCTCAAACCTCTGACTATGAAATAATAAAAGGTTTTTAAGCCATTGTTTGTGGAAATTTGTGACACTAGGTAGAAAAGTAATACAAAGATCAACACATAAAAATCAATTGTATTTCTACAAACTAGTAATGAACAATCTGAAAATGAAAGTAAAAGACCAATTGCATTCACAATAGAATTAAGAATAAATTATTTAGGGGTAAATTTAACAAAAGAACTACAAGACTCGTAAACTGAAAACTAAAAATCATTGCTAAAATAAATTAAAGAAGAGGTAAAAAAATGGAAAGATATCCCATGCTCATGAATCAGAAGACTCATGTAATGGCATTTACAACAAATGGTGCTTGGACAATTGGCTGTTCTAAAGAAAAACAATGAACTCAGACCCTTATCTCACATCATGCACAAAAATTAACTCAAAATGGATCAAAGACCTAATTGTAAGAGGTGAAACTTTAAAACAAGTAGAAGAAAACAAAGGAGTACATCCTTGTGATCTTGAGTTAGGCAAAGCCCTCTTAGATATGATACAAAAAGCATAAGCAAGAAAACTTTAAGTGATAAATTTGACTTAATCAAAATTTAAAAACTTTTGTTTGTCAAAGATAACATCAAGAAAGTGAGAGCCCTTTCAGAATGGCCATGTAAGGACCTTAGGGAAATCTCTTCCCTGGAGTGACAACTATTAAGCTAATCGGTATTAGCAAGGACAAACATTCAAATGTTCCAGAGATTGATCAAAGGGCTTACAACATATTAAGAAGTATTTATTCAACAAAATTTATGGAAAATAGGTAAGAACAGTGGGAGGTCTTGGTTTTGGAGCTAGGAACTACACCCGTATCTCCACTGCTCTGCCTTGTCAAAGAACTGTTTTAGCAAGCTTGGGAGCTGATTGGCAGGCAGTTCCCAGATCTCCCAGCTCTCTGGAGTGGAATAGCTCTTCTGGGTAGTTTCGGCAGATGGTGAAAATAGGTAGATTCTATTTTCCATAGCTCTGTGTGGCAGAAGGTCTATATCAAGTGGGTAGTGGCAGCAGGGCAGCACCCATTTCCCTATCCCCAATTTCTCCAATATAGGCAGGACAGTTGGTGAAAAGTGCAGTCCCCCTTTCTGGTACACATCTGTGTGGTGGGAGAGCTGATAAACTTGCTTGACAACTAAGTGGCAGTTCCCATCTTCCCAGCTTCCTAGGGCAGACATATTCTGGGTAGATCTGACAGATGGTGAATGTTAGCCACCCTCCTGGCTCTGGGCTAAAAACAATCCCAAAGGTAACATCACATTAAATGGTGACAGACTGAAAACTTTTCCCCTAAGAGAGGAAGAAGACAATGATGCTCATGTTTGCCACTTCTATTCAATATATTACTGGAAATTCTAGACAGAGCAATTAGGCAAGAAAAGAAATAAAAGCATCCAAATCAGAAAGGAAGAAGTAAAATTATGTCTGTTTGCAGGTGACATTACCCTATGTGTAGAAAATCCTAAAGAATCCACAAAAAATCTGTTAGAGCTGACAAACAAATTCAGTAACGTTTCAGGATACAAAATTAACATGTAAAACTCAGCTGTACTTCTATAAAATAACAGTAAACAATTCGAAAAAGAAATTAAGAAAGCAATTACATTTACAATAGCATCAAAAAGAATAAAATACTTAATAATAAACTTAAGCAAGGAGGCAAAAGTCTTGTATATAGAAAACTGCAAAACACTACTGGAAGAAATTAAAGACCTAAATAAACGCAAAGACATCCTGTATTCATGGATTGGAAAACAATATTGTTAAGATGACAGTATTATTCAAAATGATCTATAGATTCAATGCAATCCTTATCAGAATCTAAGTGACTCTTTTTGTAGAAATAGAAAAACCCATCTTAAAATTTGTATGGAATCTCAAGAGACCCCTATTAGCCAAAACAATCTTTCACATGAGGAACAAACATGAAAGACTCACATTTCCTGATTTTAAAACTTACTACAAAGCAACAGTAGCCAAAAAAACATGGTACTGGCATAAAGACAGACATACAGACCAATGGAATAGAATATAGAACCCAAAATAAACACTCAAATATATGGTCAACTGATTTTTGACAAGAGTGCCAACTACTCAATGGGGAAAAAGGATAGACTTTTCAATAAACATTGCAAGTAAAACTGGATATCCATATGCAAAATAATTAAGTTGGATCCTAAACTTACACTATACAAAAAATTAACTCAAAATGGATCAAAGAACTAAATTTAAGAGCAAAACTATAAAAGTCTTAGAGGAAAACATAGGAGACAATTTTCACGACACTGGATTTTGCAATGATTTCTTGGATATGACACTGAAAGCAAAGGCAGAAAAGGGGAAAATAGTTTAACTGCATTTTATCAAAATCAACAACTTTTATGCATCAAATGACACTATCAAGAGAGTGAAAAGACCACAAAATGAGATAAAATATTTGCAAACCATATATCTGATAAGGGATTAATGACCAGACCACATAAAAACTCCCATAACTCAGCAACAAATAAACAAACAGCCTAGTTAACAAAATGAGCAAAGTACCTAATATACAAATGGATAATAAGCAGATGTAAAAACACTCAACATCATTAATCATTAGGGAAATGGAAATCAAAACCACAATGAGATACTACTCCACACCCATTAGAGTGGCTATTATCAACAAAATAGAAAATAACGAATGTTGGTGAGGATCTGGAGAAACTGGAATCCTTGTACACCACTGATGAGAAAGTAAAATGGTGCAGCTTCAATGGAAGACAGTTTGGTGGTTCCTCAAAAAGCTAAACAATTACCATATGATCCAGGA